ACGGTAAGCGAGACGTACACAAGGTCTATAGACCTGGTTTCGCACTCAACGTGTTAAAAAAGACCGATATTGATGTCTGCCAATCAGCTTCATTTCATCAGCATCCCGAGGTGGACCGACGACATCATAAAGATAGCAAGAAGGCGTTGGACGCAGGCTGCTACCAACCGGGCAGCATGGAAAGCGTTGGAGGAGGCCTATGTTCAGCAGTGGACGTCCTATGGCTGAGATGATGATGAATCCGTTTCATTTGCACAGATAGGTAAAAATATTAACAAAAATAAGTACCTAGGCTTTTTGGCCGCAAGATACGATCTAAAGTGACATAATCTCGCCGCACTCGACTATTGTGTTGAACCTACTCATAACACAAGCATATTTAGCTCAGTACGAGAGGTTAACGGGACAAAAATTCTTTAAAAACAATTAAAACTTTGAATTGATTCAATCGTCTGCGTCTAATATACATATAACTCAAAGGTGACTGACACAGTGATCTATCAACGCCCAAACCACTGGACGAATCGAGCTGAAAGGCATTCAGGTAGATGTTATGACGTAGGCATCCGCTAAGAAAGAATTTTACGAAACTCCACCCCTAAGGGGATAAAACGGGATCCACGCGTACGAAGTCGCGGGCGGCCGCTAGTTATTCATAAAAACCATTCATAGTCGTACATTTTATTACCAAAACAATGTTTTCACAAATAATTGTAAATCTGTCGATTTCCCCGATACCGTTGACGCTGACCAACGTCTGACATCAAAGGCATAGTGTCGCCGCGCGGCTTTTGTCGCTCCAGTAATAATAAATGGCGGCTTTGTGGGCCGACTGGACGCTTTAACGAGACATACAATAACCTTTGAATGGTCGGAGTAACTCGCATTAAGGTGGGCGAGTTTGATGCTGAAAGTGTTTTTTTGAATAGCTACTGTGATGAAATTTTCGCTAAAACGAAATAATCAGGAATGAAATCTGATGTCTAAGCAATAGACCTTAAAAAAATATTATTTCAATTTCAAAGATCACTTTTAAAGTGACCTTGTCTTTTCCATTTTCGTAGAGATAGAGCTTTGTCTGGCGTACCTCACTGCGGCATAACTTTACAAAATAGTATAATTAAATAGTGTAACTAACATTAAAGTATCTTACGTTTTTTTACCCTGTACAAAGATGACGGTAGAGACAAACCCTGATGGTAGAGTCAATTTATAATCGTAAAAAATCATGAAACCTTTTTTACTCGCTCTAAATGGATCGAATATGATGTCCTTACCGAGAATAGAGTCCCCCGAGCTTTGCTAGTCACACGGATTGCTATCGACAAAACGGCCGCAACACGTCAGTTACGTTCGCAAATTTGTACGGAATCGGTTTCCAAATTAATTGACGAATTCACAACCCTTTACCATCCGGCATTTTAATTATTGAAAGCCTCACAATGACACCCCAACCGATCGGCAATATTAACTCACAACGATACCTGTACCAGCTGTATAAACCGATCCTAACCTTAATGTTGATCTGCGGTTACAATCTCGGTTTTAACAGAAACGCCTTCACCAAATTCGTTATCCGAATATACTCAGTTTTCCTCATCGTCATCATCAGTTACGCCAACATGACTTGCTGTCCAGCTCAAGAGATATCCTTTATTTGGCCGTTGATGGAATACGTCGTATACGTCATGATAATGTTGTTCTACAAAAGCCGAATGCCAGTTTACTTTCGCAAGCTCGTCGAGATTGACACGTTTTTGCGTATTAACAATCGCCACTACTACAAAACTCGGACGAAAATTTACGGTCTAATCATCACGATGTTCTGCATTCGATTTGCTTTCGTCACTGGGTACTGTTTATTACACTCTTGCTATTCTTCGGCGATTATGTTTGGTGTATTCGAGTTCTCGATGGTAGCTTTAGATATTAATCGGATCTGGAGATTCTGTATCTTTGAGGAGATCTGGTACAGACTCAAATTGTTGAGGATGAGGATACGAGAGTCCCCTGAGGAGAACTATTATTTGTACGTGAAAGATAACAAGATGTTGAAGGAAAATAAGATGAGGTTTGCCTTGTATCTGTACCAACGAATTGCAGATCTGCTGGATTTGATTTCGCCTGAACTGAACGCATCGGTAAGTTGTGTTACTAACGTGATCTTCTTTATTATTTTAAAAGCTGTGCACATGGCTTTGTAAGAGTCTAAGGCCTCCACAGACCAAACGCAGGGCAGTAGCAGCGCAGTTTGAATGTTGTAATATAAGAAACTCTTTGAAGAGTGTAACACCAAATTTTAACGCGGGCCCGCGCTCCAATCGCGCTGCACTGCAACTGCCGAACTACAAACAAGGCGAGCGCGGGCCCGCGCTGTTGTATTACTATGGCGGCCATATTAGCATGACACACCGGACGCAGGGCGGTAGCAGCGCGTTGAAAGCGGTTTTCGAATATTTAAATTTTTGACAACCGCCCGCGTTGCAACTGCTTTGAAACTGCTGTACTTTCAGTATGCCTCAGCCGCACTGCAACTGACCCGCACTGCTTCTGACCCGCGTTTGGTCTATGAAAGCCTTTAATCATTTCTCAAAACATCAATCATTAAAATCAATTCATTTCCGATCGAACAAAATTATAAATGATACGTAAGTAATTGTATTTTAGACGGTAACAACCAGTATTGTTAATAGCATATTTTTTGTTGTAGCTGTTCATGGGTGTGATCTGCAGTGTACCAAAGAATATCATCAACATATACCGCATCTTGTTGGTAGTTGACGATAATGTAAGAGTGTTTTACTTTATGCAATAAGAAAACATACAATGAAATTGAATTGTAGTATTTTTCTCAATTCCAGATACCAGCCGAGTCTCTCGGGATCACGGTGTTCCAAATATTCCAGACGTCAATTTTCATATTCACTCCCTGCATCGTCGTTGAGATGTACCAGTCTGAGGTTGAGAAGATCAGAATGTTCTTGATGCACCAACTAGTGCATGAAGAAGGTAGGTACTTAAATTTATGGATTAAAGGAGAAATTTTGGACAGAAAATTCCGTAACTCAATAATATTTTTTGTATTTTCCAGATCTCGAAACCAGAAGAGACATCCAGATATTCCTTCAGTACACCAGTATAAGAACTTTTCGCTACAAAATATGGCGCATCATACCCATGGACTTGAGCCTGCCTCTACAGCTCATGAACATTTGCACCACTTACGTTATTGTTATAGTTAATTTTACTAAAGTTTTTGACTAAGTAGCAAAAGGAGAAAATGCCTATCTAATTGTTGTAACCAGCACCAGATGTTGCCCCGAAGTGGTGGTAGGGCAAGCTATATTTGGAACTTGTAATAGCGCTTTTTAAATTTGAAAAATGACTTTATGAGTTTTAATTGTGCTCGAGGTATTTTCTTTAATAATTTGAAAATAATTCAAAGATCCATCATCATCATTTCAGCCATAGGACGTCCACTGCTGAACATTGGCCTTTCCCAATGATTTGCATGTTGACCGATTGGTAACGGCCTGCATCCAACGCCTTTGCAGTTTTCTTTAGAATATTAATTGAGAGATTAACTACCATAATTAATCATAATTCGATCGCTCAACTTCAACGACTTAAACTTCAGTTAACTTACTAAATAAGTTTGGCCTTAGATGTTCCTAAGAAATAATTTTCAATTGTTCTCCAAAATATGTTTTATTGGAAATATAACCGCAAACCATTGAAGTGTATCACAAAGATGGAGGTTATCGTTAATCCGATGTTCAGTGGATCCATCACACGACATCAAAGGCTGACAGCTTGTTAACAGCGGTAACTTTTTATTGTGCCGTTTGCCTTGGATTTGTGTTTGTGGTTTGAAAATAGACGGTTGGGTTTTAGAAGGACGGAAGTATACAAGTATTGTGGGTTTAGCTGCATCAATTATTCATCATATTATTATCTACTTATAAAAATTAATATTTTAATTATAAATATTTATTGTATTTTTTTGTAAGTAAATTATTGCCAAAATGGAAATTTATTTATTTATTTATTTATTTATTTATTCATTTGCAATAACATATTCAGCACATACAGGTATACATGCATTCATACATTGACCCTGTAAGGGTGTAGCAAAGTTACATTTACTTATTTAATACTAGTTAACATCTACGAATTAAATTAACATTTACGAATACATTAACAATTACGAATGCTTAATGGTAATAATTAGCCTTAATAATAATTACATTATTTTATTGTACAATTATACATATAGTAAATTATATTATTATATTATTTATTATTATGAGTTGGATATTGCACTATATTACATTTTACTTTGTTGATGATATTGACACATTCTCTTTCATTTTTTTAAGGGTTAGGTCACTCATGTAATCGTCAACACTGTAGTAACTTTTATCAAATAATAGGGATCTCAATTTAAATTTGAATGTATTTGTTTTTGTTTCAGTTTTTAGGTANTAGCTCGCAGAATTGCTAAAACCAAGTGGCAGTGGGCGGGGCACATAGCTCGTAGAGACGATGGCCGTTGGGGCAGAAAAGTTCTCGAGTGGCGACCACGGGCTGGAAGACGTAGCGTGGGCAGGCCTCCTACTAGGTGGACCGACGATCTCGTAAAGGTCGCGGGAAGAGCCTGGATGCGGGCAGCGCAGGACCGTGCATTGTGGAAAGCCTTGGAGGAGGCCTTTGTCCAGCAGTGGACGTCATTTGGCTGAAACGAACGAACGAACGAACGATGAACTTCATTAAGCTGTCTGTAAGAGCGCTTTCACATTAGGGCGTCAGTAGCGCGACTGCAGCGCGGCAGCGGCGTTTTTATAATGTAAAGGCATGCATCCGCTGTCACATAGTATAAAATTTTCTACATCGCACGTTTGTCGCGCTGCTAAATCGCCTATTTAGCGCGCTAAACGCAGTCCTTTACAGGAGTGTTTTTTAATGCGGTTTGCTTCTACAATTCCTATTCCATCTTCCAGTGTTCCTAAACCCGGTATCGACGGAGCAGGTGGTGCGCGAGTGCGGGCTCATCACGGCGGACTAGCGCCATCTAGCTGCCGTGCCGTAGCTTGTAGAGACAACCCTGCGTTGCAATTACGAAGGTAATCTAAGCGAATATGACTCAAATTTAAAGGGCTTTTATTAGGTGCATTGACTAGCAAACAATTTTAAGTATGAAGGTAATTTGCAAGTGAATAAGATTCAAATTCAAACATCTTTAAATTAGGCATTTGGGAATTACTACATTTAAAGAGAAATCAAAACGGGACTTAACTATTATAGTCATAATCAATTGGCAAATAAAGGAAAGGCTTTCTATAAGTATGTAGAAGATTGTTGAAATGGGTCAGTAAGAATAATACAATACATTTGTTTTTAAATTAATAACGCTATAAATAATAAGCACAAATGGTATAGGAATTGGTTCAGGATTTAAAAGAATCCATATTAGAATTTAACCTACGATTTAATTTAGGTAATTCATATATTTTTCTGCTAGTTCTGTTCCTATACAATAAACTCATTTGCCTAAAACAGTGGTTCTTAACCTTTAAGTCACGAGGGACCGTTTTACCAAATTTCTGTCTTGTCAGGGACCACTTTTTTTTTCAAAATCCTATGAAAGTGGATGTCGATTTATCGCCTACTGTGCGCCGTTTGCATTGTGTTGACTCGACTCATCACGTCACGTCACTTGTTTATTACGATGTCTTCGTGGACCACTTGGAATGCCTCCAGGGACCACCAGTGGTCCGCGGACCACCGGTTAAGAACCACTGGCCTAAAACATGGTGATGTAAGGGTTGTCTCTAAAAGTTTATAGAATAATAGCAATTAAATATAACATTACATTTATTAGAATAATTTTAGTGATCTCACTATACAAGCTAGCATGTATGTATTCATAAGATTTGTGTATTTGATATTAAATGTATGAAACTTATTTGCTTAGTTTAATTTAAGATTTTTAGTTAGTGACTAACCTTTCAGTACGCCTAACTCATGCCTAATATTTTTCTGGTATAACCTGGTAAGGGTGGATTCGACCTAACAAGAGTAAATATTAATCTCAGAATAAATCGTCAGTTTTGACATATTTCTCATACTGAAACTGTCAATGTGCCAGTTATTATACCAGGAGTTATTCTCGGATAAAAGTTTGGTCGAATCGGGCCTAATTCTGTAAATTAAATATTTAATTATACCCGTGAAAATTGTGGAAAAATAACATAAATCAAAAAGCAATAAGTCATGAAAATATATTTGAAAAAGCTTTCACTCTATTTTATACTGTTCACTAATAACTTAGCTTTACAATATAGCGGTTATCTATTACCACCGCGAAACTGGCCTATGGGCAGGATTACGGCCTTATGGCGGATTTTAAGGGTCACTTTATGGAAGAAATTGATTTACAGGTTAATGTAGAGGTTAATGGGAGGGACAGATTTAGCGGCGCTCTAAATCTTAAGAGGAGATATCAAGGCGGAGATTATAGCTCGAATAGCGCGTAAATTAGTGTACGAGTATTAAGTGCGATCATTTACTAAATTAGTACATGCTTATTTATTGATAAAGAGTTAATTTATAGTAACCGACCCAATTTATAATAGGTACACTGCATGACGTGACGTTAAACTGAATTTATATACAAACTAGCTTTCCGCCCGCGGCTTCGCCCTCGTGGATTTTTGTCTGTCACAGAAAAACTATATCGCGCGCGTCCTTGTTTCAAATACCGGGATAAAAACTATCCCATGTCCTTTCCCGGGACTCAAGCTACATATCTCTATGCCATCAAAATCGATTCAGTGGTTTAGGCGTGAAAGCAAGACACAGACAGACAGACCGAGTTACTTTCGCATTTATAATATTAGTATAGATTTATAATGTCGGCCATTTGGTGTAGTGGTTCGAAACGGACTACTATTCCGGAGGTAGCGGGTTCGATTCCCGCACAGTACAAATATTTGTGTGCATGAACGTATTTGTTTGTATTGGACTGGGTGTTTTCTATGTATAATAAGTATGTATTTACAACAAAAAAAAAGTATTTAAGCATGTTTATATCCGTTGTCTAGTACCCATAGTACAAGCTTTGCTTAGTTTGGGACTAGAAGCGCAGTGTAAAATGTCTAAGGATATTTATTTATTTATTTATTTATTTATTTATTATAGATATTGATATAGATTTATAGGTCTGCCACCCTACCGCTTAACTCACTCTGTGCCTGAGATATGGCAGCGATACGCGAGGGTTGATATTTACATATTATGACGTGACAAAGCATACAAATCTGAAGAAGATCTGAATACTCTGTGACGTTTGACATTTTATAACTTTAAAAAAAAATAAAACCGACTTCAAATGCGTGAACACAAAAAAAAACTAAAAATTAAAAATATTGCGTATAAAAAAGTTCATCCCCAATTTTCCACCCTTGGGGGTGAAATATTTTCTTCAAATTCGCATGAAACCACCCTTTTGATAATACCTATTCAACAAAAAAATAATCGTTCAAATTGGTTTATAATCGGCGGAGATATTGCGTATAAAAAAGTTCATCCCCAATTTTCCACCCTTGGGGGTTTTTTTTTAAGGGTTAGGTCACTCATGTAATCGTCAACACTGTAGTAACTTTTATCAAATAATAGGGATCTCAATTTAAATTTGAATGTATTTGTTTTTGTTTCAGTTTTTAGGTATTCAGGGAGTTTATTATAAATTTGGATGCAGCGATACTGTGGACCGTTTCTGTACATTTCTAACTTAGGGACTGGGAGTGCAAGTTGGTGTCGGCGGCGTATATTTTTGTCGTTTTGGAACAGATGTTTATTATTTTTTACGAATAGAGCAGCTTCCATTATGTACAGTGACGGGAGAGTTAGGACCCGTTCCTTGATAAAATGTGGTTTACAGCTTTCCCTTCTGCTAATATTTACAATTATACGCAGGCACTTCTTTTGGGCCACAAATAGGTCTTTAGCTTCGGCGGTGTGGCCCCACATGACGATTCCGTACCGAAGCCAGGCGTAGGCATAGGCGTAATAAGCGGTCAGGGCACACTGTTTATTTGTGTTTGTTTTGAGGAGATTTAGCGCGTATATGAATTGTGATATTTTTGATTTAGTGGTTTCTATATGTTTTTTCCAGTTAAGGTGTGTGTCTAAATTTAATCCCAGGAGTTTACATTCATCTACTTCTTCGACGTCTAAGTGTTTAACTATTGTTTTGAGGTCTATTGGCTGTTTTTGGTAGGGTTTAAATTGGATGATTTTAGTCTTTTTATTATTTATTACCAAGTATCTTAGTACATTTAGAGAGACGAGACGCACGATGCTGCTTCTTCTCAGTACTGGCTCAATTTACTGACTAATTTATTGTCCCGAAGCAGTCGTATAGTTAAAGTAACACTGGGACATGTAAAAGCGCTTATTAAAAGCCTGTTTGCAGAAAATAACTTTTAACTGTGACTTCACCCGCGTGAAATTTTGTCTGTCACAGAAAAACTTTATCGCGCGCCTTCCTGTTTCAAAAACCGGGATATTCCTATTTCCTTTCCCAGAACTATATCTTTACCTTTCATCAAAATCTGTTCAATGGTATAAGTATGAAAACGTAACAGACAGAAAGTATTACTTTCGCATTTATAGTATTAAGTCGGAATAGGGATGATATTTTCAAATCTTTTCCACTTCCACCACTTAAATTACAACCTAGCCCATTTTTACGTCCGATATGTAAATTCCAAAATAATACTTTAACTATCCTATCCCGTAAACAAGTGATAACTCGCCAGTCCGCAGTTTATGGGGCACATAAATGGATGGAGTTTTACAACTCTGGAACTCCATAGTGCAAGTTATGAATATTTCAATTCCAAAATGGACATTATTTGCTCCTTCTTTATTGAAGTTTTGGATGGAGAGTATGGCAGGTAGATTTGAATTAAGTTTTCAAAAGTTAAAAAATAGACAAGCTATGAACTCTCTATGTATGTACTACGAAACCTTTATAGATACAATATGATCAATGTGTTTGTTGGATAGATGACTCTACTGGGTCTAAGGGGATATATTTTTTTACTACCTACGTAATTGATAGCATTCATCATAAAAGGTATCTCAAGTGACCCGATTAAGATAGTTAAAACCTAAAATACCATAAGCCGTTCTAAAACCAACAGTATCTACTTTAATTTAACATCCAACTCCTTTGCAATTACTCAATATTTGAAATTTTCAAAATGTTTTTGCGATTGTAAAAACTTTTATCATGATACTCGTATTTCAAGACATCGTACGTCTTATTGTTGAGACAAACCATGAAAACAAAATATTTAACAATACCTCAATTCCTTTCCTTTGTATATTGAAATATATCAATTCTTTAAGCACCCACATCGCCAATACATTTTTGAATCTCAAACACAACAGAGTAGAATGTAAATAGCATACACCGAACCTCTTTGTCGAGAGTGCTATGGCTTTCAGGAGTATTGGCCCGTCTCCACCGGTCCTTCGAGTCAAACGCCATGCATTGAGGACCGAACCCTATTGAGATTTTATTGGACGAATTTTATATTAGAAACCCCTACCACTGGTCCTCTCAAGTTAAGCTTCATTCTTATGCGAGTTCGTTCGTTTGTTCGTTTCAGCCAAATGACGTCCACAGCTGGACAAAGGCCTCCCCCAAGGTAATAAACGGTCCTGCGCTGCCCGCATCCAGGCTCTTCCCTCGACCTTTACCAGATCGTTGGTCCACCTAGTAGGAGGCCTGCCCACGCTACGTCTTCCAGCCCGTGGTCGCCACTCGAGAACTTTCCTGCCCCAATGGCCATCGTCTCTATGAGTAAGGTGTCTCTCTTATGCGAGTAAGGTGACATTATTGTCCCGAAAACACTGTATACATGAGAGTAGAGTAGGTGTTGGGTTAATTTTGTTGAATTTTGATAAAACAATCTATAAAGAATGGACCGACGATCTAGTGAAGGTCGCGGGAGGTGCCTGGATGCGGGCGGCGCGGGACTGGTCGTTATGGAAATCCTTGGGGGAGGCCTTTGTCCAGCAGTGGACGTCATTTGGCTGAAACGAACGAACGAACGATCTATAAACAATTGTTTTTTGTGAAGCACAAAGCAGATTTGACTGCAATCACACCTGGTGTTAAGTGAGATGGTACATAACTGCCCTGTAAGTGCCTATTCACTATCGCCTTGACGACGTCCGGATTATAATGCTCCGGAAAGACATCATCGGGCAGTGAATCACATTTCATAGCTGAAGTTTCAGTTCCAGATTCTGAATTTCATGCTCTGTATTTAAAATGAAAACTCCTTGAATAAAAAATACCTTCTTTTCTTAAACAAATAGTACTTTAATTTCAATATCCAACTCCTGCAACTGCTCAATATTTGAGCGCAAGAAACTCCAGCACCGTGCATTAAGTGATTAGTCCCATTTGAGATCGGCACAGAGCGTTTTGTTCCGAATAATTTATGGAACAAATCGACAGACGTGTTCCTGATTAATGCTTGGAACAACTTTGATTAAAGTACACAGTTTGAGTAGAGCGCTAAAGTTTTCAGTCTGAATGGACTGACGTTTTTGGAATGAATTTATTGTGCTATAGACGGAAGGATTGCAAAGGTAAACAAAAGTATGGATGTTAACAATTTCAGATTAATTAAATATGGTTATGGTGGTTGGCATATCTGATAACACCTCTCTATTACGCATACGACTTTAAATCCCGACGGAAGATGTTAGTGTGATATGTATGATTATTCATCTTTGTTTATGTGTAGTATCTTTATGATTGAAAAATCATAATCAGTTTATTTAGTCACTACTAGTATCACTAAAATCACTAATTAACTACTAACT